AAATATATGCCAATTACAAAAACTGCTTTTTTATTAGGTACACTTTCTCTTTGTGGTATTCCACCTCTTGCTTGTTTTTGGTCAAAAGATGAAATTCTTAATGATAGTTGGTTGTATTCACCAATTTTCGCGATAATAGCTTGTTCCACAACGGGATTAACTGCATTTTATATGTTTCGRATATATTTACTTACCTTTGAAGGGCATTTAAATGTTCATTTCCAAATTACAATGGCAAAAAGAAAAAACCTCATTCTATTTAATATTTATTTGAAGGCCTTGGGAAGATGATAGGATGATAAGATGATAAGATGTATTGTATTATTCTAATTTATCTGTTTTTCTCTTAAAAAATGTTTTCTTTTCAATTAAGCTTACCAATTCTTGGTCGCCTTTGTCAACGTGAGAAAATCATTTATTAATATCTCATGAGAAGTTTTTCATCCCACAGTGGAAAACCCAACATATAAAAAACAAAGAATGTTGTTTTAGTTTTCAAAAAGGATATATTCAATGATTACTTGATAGAATTATGGTGATAGTCAATCTCTAAAGTGAAAGATGCTTGAAAATTATTTGGGGTCATCATTTCACACAAYTGTTATTTCTATTTGCAACATTTTAGGTTTGTCAATACAAATTTTATGAGAATAGAATGATTTAAGTTATCAATACAATATCTAGTATCATTGGTGTTTCTTCGGGAAACATCAAATTTAATATTTCTACTATAAATGACAACACTAAATCCAATGGATATATGTTTTTAGTGGAAGTGGTTTATCTAGTGTAATGTGATAAGACAATTTCTTAAAAATTTGTATTGACCAACCTAAAACATTGCAAATAAAAGTTGAAATGGCACCAAACACAACCTTAATGCTTATAGGAACATTGCTTTTCTCTTTTAGGAGGTGTTTTGAGGGGAAAGTTGGTCAATGGGATTTTTGTTATTGTTGACAAAAAAAATCCTATGCTCTCTTTTTAGATTAGTGTGGAGATTAGGAAAAGTTTATTTTCCTGGATACTTATCTCCTAGGTGGGTAAATAACTTTTCCACTGGGGGGAATTTTCAACACTTAATGACACAAAAATGTCTCTTTTAATAAAGGAACATAGATAAATACACTTCTTGTGTAAGTATTTCTTAGAAAAAAAAACTTACACAAATAATTGTATTTACTTGTTTGTAAAAATATTTCTACTTTTCCTTCAAATCAAACACAACCTTAAGCCTGAAAATTAGGGCTGTTCATAACAAGACCCAAACCGACTAATCCAGATCGATCCAACCCGAGTTGGCCGGTTTTTCTTTAGCACCGGTCGGTTTCGGGTTACAAAAAAACATAAACCGATGGTTTGGTGATATCTATAAATATAACCCTAGCAAGTGCACTAGTTATTAAGTAGTATAAAAAATATCGTTCCCACGGGGATTTAACAAAATAAGTATTAGAACTACAGTCTTCCCTAATTATTTGGACAATCGAAATTCAGATTTTTAAGAGTAAGAACTACTGAAAATAAAAACTATAAAAAGAAAATAGAAGCAAGGGTTATCACTGACCGAATATGCAATGGATGAAATCGCTAGGGCTTTTGGTCCACCTAACTAATGTAATGAATATTAATGGATTCGATTAACCAAGATTAATTGTCATTCCCATAAGCTGAGGTCTTTCCAATTTTATTTAATATTCTCTCTCGAGATATACTAAAACTACGCCCATCAAGTAACCCTTCGATCTCTCGAGTAGAGCTCTCAAGATGGAAGTGCATTAAGYCCRAGGAAAACCATTATATTCAGATGAATCATGTATATATATCTCTATATACTATTCAATTCACACTATGAACTATTCAGTCAAATTATGTGAATTCCTCTCTCGATTCATTCACATAAACCAAATCAATTAAGAGGTGGCCAARCTCTTAATCACATTAAGCAAAATAATTCATAGACTGTATGGAAATCATAATCTTAGATAAATCATAAAGATAAAAATATATTCATTAACAGGGTTAATCTTTCCACAGCCCTAGCTAAAAACAAATCAGTTTATGATAAAAGAATTAAAGCAAACAAAGGGAAAGAAAGAACTCACGAATTCGCCCATGGTGCTGAAATCTCATCTTCTTGCCGCCACCTTCTTCTTGAAGTTTCTTCAATTCTTGATCACCTTTCCCAAGTTTCTTGATTTGTTTTCTCCTTTCTTGATAGATCCTCAATTCAGTTCGTGACCCCCCCTAGGGTTGGTACACCTAACTCTGATATAGCTTACAATTACTTGGAGTTATCTCAAGAATGGATAATCCAGCCTTGATCCAAACTCCTCATATCCTATCCTATCTTCTCTCCTCTCTCMTTATCTAAACCTTTCTTAATCTTTCTAGAATTACATTTAGAAATTTAAATCTAAGAGGACTCTCGAATTCTTGAATTCGAATGGGCTGCTTTAGTACTTTGGGCTGCCACAATGTTTTTTTTGCGAAATGGGCTTTAGCTAAGAACTGGGCCTCACTACGAAATTGCTTCGTATTCGGGCCCGGATTTGACTTTGATGTAGGCCGAATCTGCGAAAGCCCAAAACAAGAAAGTTGTATCTTTCTCTCTTATCTTTCCAGTAGATCTTGAATCAGCCCAATCGGAGGTCAGATATGAAAGTTAGGCCCAGATTACTGATCCCTGCCGAAACTGTGAAAACTCATCCAATTGGCCTTGTTTTCTCTCTTGCGACTTCTTTCCTTGCCCTGCACCGAAATACAAGAAATATGAGTCTAATTAAGTATTAATTCGGTATAAAAGATAGAATATTAGGGGATAAAATGTGATAGATTTTATTCTCATCATTCGGTTCGGTTTTGGTTTTCATGTGTGAAAACCGAAACCGAACCGACTTAGATATATTATATATATTTGATATATTTCATTTTTACTATATATATATTAGCTTTATTTCAGAAATATACATATTATATATAAAATTTCAGATATATAAAATATCAATTTTAATCCATCAAATCATTTTTAATTTCTAGGAATCCAGCCTTTGCTTTCTTAGACTTGATTCCTTTATCGTTTACACTGAGAGAATCATTCACAAAACCGACCCAAACTGACCAAAACCGATTCAAACCGAACATGTCAATTTTACTTAGTACTGGGTCGGTTTCAGTTTCATTTCTAGGTAAACCGACCAGGTTGGGTCGGTTRGAAAAATGCCAATAAACCGACCCAAACCGACCCGTGAACAACCCTACTAAAAATGTTGGGAAACCCTAGAATGATACAAGAACTTTAAAATTTCTTTATTTAATGGTGGTGAATAATTACGGTGGAAATATGCATCAGACATTATACAAGTAGAGCCGTTTGGGTTTTATTTTAAAAATTTAATAAATAATAAAGGGCAAAATTAATTATAAAAGGGTAGTTTTGAGATTTTAAAAGATTGTATAAGGCATGTATTTGTATCACTTGGAAGCAAATTGTATCAGCATTATTACGGCAGGGAAGATCTTGTCGATAGAGAAAATTTAGGATACTTTAAAGGGACACTACCCCGGTAGTATAGCCAAGAGAGGTTAGTTTTCTTAACTTAGGGGTCGTTTAGGTATTTTACTTGCCCTTTCAATGATCTACCCTAAACTCTCGTTTTGGTTCGATGAAGGTGAAGATTTGAAGCTTGGAGGACAGGTACGAGAGCTTGAAAGCTTTCTTCATGGTCCAAACGTGAAGGTCTGAAGTTTGAACTCTGGAACTTGATGTTGAAAATCGAAATGGAAGCTGAAGGGAAGCTTGAATCTTGAAGTCGAATATTCCTATGAAGCCTGAAGAACGAAACTGAAAAAAAAAAAAAATAGAAAACAAAACTTAAAAAGCTTTAGGCTTGAGCAGGGCCGGCCGGTTTCAAGCTTCCAACGGCATTGCAGCGAGATTTCCTAGAGGGGTTCTTTTGTTGACAAGAGAAACCGTAATCCTCTTTCGAGGTCTCGACGTTACCAGGAGCTCTAATGGAGGGATTGAAGGTTTCTGATGCGAATTTGGTTGTTTACATACACCCATCGAAGGCGGGCAAGGTTTCTCAATCGATCCTTCGGGAGCTCAGTACTTTGCTATTTAAGTATGTCTCTCTCTCTCTCTCTCTCTCTCTCTCTCTGAGCTCACGAAATGAGTTTGGTCAACGACCATGTTGCTGTAGTTATGTTCACCTTACCTGTTTGGTTTTGTCGATTTCTTTAACTTTCTGATTGCTTGGTTTGCTGTGTTGGGACCTTGCTTGGTTCAAAGTCCTCTACTTAATAATATCAAGATGAATAGTGTCTGATATTCTGTCACATTATTTTTATTTAAGATCTGGTTGGATATGAACACTCTGACATTCTCTTGGCAAACATTTTATCCGACACCATGTACTCATGCCATTCACTAAATTTTGAAATGTAAAACTTACAAACTTGTAGGACGATCAGCAAATGAACTAATGAAAATTATACAATATACACTTGTTACTGAATTACCATTTACTTGGTAAGGATATAATTAAATGGTGAGTTTGCTTTGAAAAACTGAAAACACCGTCTTACTTTTGAGGTTTCATATGCTGAAGACAGAATTTGCATAAGAATTGGTTTTGCAGTTTTGAAAGATAAACAACTGAACTGAAAGGGATATTGATGTTGATACCATATTGCCTTGTTGAATTATGGGGGCTTATTTTTATTGAAAAAGAAAATGGAAAATAATCAATTCAATCTCTTATTTTGTTATAAATCACCAAATACAGTGGAGAGAAAAATAGCATGAATATAATTAGGAAATAGAGAGAACGAGGAAGGATTCAATCCAGAAAGGGACATAGAAAAAAATAGGAAAAATAGTAGAAAAACTAAAGGTAATATTTTTTTGTTCCAACAGGAATCTTGAAATTTTGCTGAAATTCTGGCAAAACCATCAAAATCTAGGCTGGTCTTCTAGCAGAATTTGAAACCTTGAATCCACATAGGTTTTTAATCTATAGTTGTTCAATTTGTTAAGAAGTGGCAGCTCCAGATTAGTTATTAGGTTACATTTTCTGGTCTTGTTTCTTATGGCTGGAAAAACTAATATTGGTGCTTTTCTGGGCAAGTTGACTGACTTGAATTCATTGCCTTTTTGCAGGTACAATGAAATCTTTGATGGTGTTGTTCTAGCCTATGATGTAACAATTCAGAATAAAAATGCCAAGGTTCTTCCTGGAATTTACCCATGTTTTGGAGTAAAACTAAAAGCAAAGATGTTACTCTTTTCTCCAAAGCCAGACATGCTTTTAGGTAGTTCCAAGTTGAACTTCTGAGTACTATGAGTGTCATTCAGTTGCTTTTATTTTCAAAACTTAATATTGGTTCATGGTGTCCAATAAGCTGTATATTTTATGCCAATTTAGATTACTTCTGATTTGCTTATATAGCTAATGCAACAGCATGTGCCTACTTTGACAGGAGGCTGGTAACTTATGAACACAGTGATTAACTTAGAAATTCCAATTAATTGAATTTATCTTTTTTTTTTTTTTTAATTTAAAGGGGACAAAGCAGTCAAGTACCATAATCAAATTAAAGGTTTCTGATGTGCTCTGTTTTAAGTTCAGTATTTTGTGTGCATATGAACTGGTGCCATGTAATGGGCATATTCTGGTAAACCTTGTTGGACTTGGTGCATTGTCATTAAAAGGACAATTGCTTTAGGAACTAAAGGTGTGTGCATTGATAGAAGATATGACTTTGGAATTTGGATAGACTTGAATGGTGTAATAGAGCTAATTTTTGACTGAATTAGGCAATTAGCTACTTTCTTGTTCATTTTCCTTTTTTTCCCCCCTCGGGGGTGGGGTATGGTGCAAGAAAAAAAGCTGTTTTTTGATTGATAACTGCAATTTTATTAAAAGAAGAACATGAAGGTTCACATATACAGGAGCTCTAAGGAGCTAGGATCACTTAATTCCTTCCCTCTCTCTTTTTAGTTTACAATTGCACCCAAAACATTTATTCTCACTCCACCAGTTGTTTCGCTTGCATCAGCCATACAGTTAGCTTCCCATTGTACCCATTCAAGTTTTACTTCTATGCCCCAAGTTAGCCACTTGGACCTTCTCAAGTGGTAATGTAAGAAGTGAATTTTGTTTCCTAAAGTTTCCTTAAATCGCAATCTTAAAATTATTTATAGCTCATCCTACCATTTTTAATATGGGACTCATCCAACAATATGGATCTTCTTAAATTTGATCCCTTGGCATTGGCATTTAGGCTAAAAATTTTTATTAAATGAGCAGGAAATATGTAGAGGCAAATCAAACCTGGAGAACAAAGGATAGCTACAAGGAAAAGGTAAAGAATGGTAGAGTACGGATAGAGTCCTTTGAGGAAGATGAAGTGAGGCTAGACGTTATTGAAATAGAGGGAGATGAAGCCCCTGGTCTGGATGGATTTACAATGGCTTTTTATAAGAAATGCTGGGGTTTTCTCAAAGAGGACCTGATGGAGGTGTATTCTTAGAGTGTCATATTTATGGTGCCTTGGAGAGGAGTCTAAAATCCACTTTCTTTTCCTTAATCCCAAAGAAAAACGGTGCTATAAACATGAATGATTCTAGACCTAGTAGCCTGGTAGGAATAAAATTATTGCAAAGGTGCTGGGCTTTTTTTTTTTTTTTTTGATGAATAACAGAAACTGGTTCATTAACATTATAGAAAGATCTACAAAGAGGATAGAGGGAGAGATAAACTTTCATAGCTCTCCCTCATCCAGGAAACATGATTACAGGATTACAAAACAACCCAAATCAAATGATCCCTTCTCACCCCCTGTTTCGCTAAAGTATCAGCAAAGGAGTTAGCATTCCTTTCAACCCATTGCACATTAATTTCCATTCCCTGAGATAGCCACTTACTCCTTTTCTCATTAATATAGTTCCACCACCCAGCCTCCTTTTCTTTTTGCAACCACTCAATAACTAACTTTGAGTCTCCCTCAATTAGGAGCTTATGAATGTGCAGCTCTTTAGCCCTTGTAGGCCTTCCAATAGAGCCATTATTTCAGCTCTTAGAGAGTCTCCCACACTAATCAGACCCGAGTAAATGGCTATGATTCTTCCTCCCCCATTTCTAAAAACTCCCCCTATGCCAAAAGGACCAGGATTTCCTTCACTACCATTAAAATTCAGCTTAATAAAACAATCATTTGCATGGACTTCCTCAAAGAGATCCAAAGACTTCACGCAATGGATCACCCTAATTGTAATGGTGCCAATTAGAGCAGCTCTACTTCTTTCCATATCAAGAAAAATCCTCTAATTCCTTTCTTCCCAAGCTGTCCAATACACAACTGCCCTTGTGCATCTACATAATGATCTTCCCCTCTTCTTCGGCTAACTAATGAAGGTAGAGGCAAACAAGCTTTGTATGTTTGGTGGGGGGCTTCCATCTGCATCCAAACAAAGAGAGAAACCATTCCCAAATTGAAGAAATATAAGTGCAGGAAATTAATAAGTGGTAACAAGACTCACTTTCAACCTTACAAAGAGAACACCAAATAGGGGACCGATTGGGTCTTTTTCTTTGAAGTAAATCATGAGTGTTAATTCTCGACAGAAAGGCTTCCCAACAGAACACTCTAACTCGAGGAGGGATAGGATTGCTCCAAACCTCCTTAATAGGAAAAGACATTCCTAAGCTATCCACTGGCTGAAATAAGGATGAGAAAAAGGAGGCACAGGAGAAGGATCCGAAGAAAGAAAGAGTCCATATTTGACAATCCCTTTTGGTGGGATCCAAGAAAACCCCTTCTAACTTTTGGACAATCGACAAGAAGACACTTAGTTCACTTATCAGAAAAAAAAACAAGATGTCACTTCATTCCTACTCACGTAGCCCTCTCCTAAATCCCAAGTTCCAATYGAACCCAGACATTAGAGGGAACAAGGAAAGAAGAAATAGGCTCATCCCTATAACTAGAAATGGCAAAAAGAGAGGGGAATTGCTCCTTAAAAGGAGAATTATCCAACCAAACATGTTCCCAAAATTTGACAAGATTTCTAGAGTAAGGGTTATACCTGACAAATGACAAGGATGGTAAAATTACATGGATGGCTTTCTAGGGAGAAGCACTAGTAGCCCTAGCCAAAATCCGAGAGTCCTAGTCATCCGCCACAAGCCCATGAATACTGATGATTACTTTTGTCCATAGCTTGTCTCTATCCACTGGAAATCTCCACAACCATTTCCCTAACAAAGCAATAATCCTTTTTTTGGTACAAAGGTCCTGGCTTCTAGAATGAAAAGAGTCATGGGGTCCATTATTTCAAAATATAGAAGTGCTTTGTGTGCATTTTCCTAGCATATCCAAGTGTTTCCATATATTTAGTCTATATCAATGTGTTTCCAAAGTGTATCCATATCTGAACTATCCAATACAATACCCAGTACTATGATCCTTACATGCACATGAAGAGAAAGACACATATTAAGCCTCCTTTTCTRTAGCATGTCTCAAGTATTAATCCTTCCAAGGAAAACTTCCCAACACAACTTGAACTTTAAGAGGGAGAGGTTCACACCAAATTTCTTTCATCGGGAATTACATTCCCAAGGAAACAAAGTGGATAAGTAGTTTTAAAAAATAAGTACAAGAAAAGAAGCCATTAGAGGAGGAAAATCAGTTTCTATTATCGTTCAAGTTTTAATCCATGCAGACCACATCCAACTTGCCAATAAGAGAATGAGGGATTAACATTCTTTATTCTTCAAGCCCCTCTTGAAACCAAAGTCCTAGTTCATTCTGAGGCACAGACTAGTTCAAATTTTGAGATAGGTTCAATTTTGTAGTTTGAATGGGAGTAGGCAAAGGGAATTGCAATTTGAGGGGCATGTTACCAATTCATAGGTCCTAGAACAAAATTTTATTCCTACTACCCACATGGCTACATCAAAACGAGTGAAGTTGAAAAAAGTTAGGAGTGCCTTTTGTATTGCCTCCCAAGGAGAAGAAAAAGAAAAAATGATCCACCTTTGCATGGCAACTATTTTTCATTACACCATGAATGCTTTCAATGACCTTGTGCCATAGCCTATCACTTTCTAGGGGAAATCTCCACAACCACTTACCTAGCAAAGATGCGTTCTCTACATTATGTTCCTACTACCTAGCCCATCCTATTACTTGGATCTACACTTGTTCCCACTTCAGTAAATGGTCTTTCCTTTCATCCCTTAGTTCTCATAAATGGTCTCTAATGTATTTTTCTAATTATCATAGGGGTGTAATTGGATCGAGTTCTAATTGGATAGTTCGAGCTTGAGTTCAATGCAGTGATTTAAAAGGCGTGCCTCAGGCATGCCTAGGCGCACAGGTGAGGYGCATTTTGGGATATGTGCCTCGCCTAGGTCCTAGGTGCACCTCTTTCAAAAGGCGCGTGCCTGGTGCGCCTAGGCGTGTGCTTGATGCGCCTTGCACCTCAGCCCAGGCGTGCACCTTTTTAAAATTTTGCGCTTTTTGCTTTTTTTTTTTAGTTTAACGCCTTGCTTTTTTTGCACCCGAGAACCTCCTACTTGCTTATGTTGTTCATTCATTAATTGCAATAAAATATCTTCTTAAAAGGCAATGAAAGTTGTAAAATCATTATTTTTTTTATGTGAGAAATAAGAATTTCAGACCCTAATATAGACTTGTTTGGGCTTGCCTCGAGTGGCGTGCTACAAAGGCGACTCATAGAATAAAAAATACAATATGTTTTACATCACACTAACCACTTGAAGCAATGCAATTAAGGAAAAAAAGAGATTGAAATGCTTTATATGTTTGCTTTTATTTTTAAATTTTCATTTGAATACACTTTAAATGTTATGTTTATGTATTTTAATTTTAGATAACAGGTTTTATAAATCATTTATTTTAAAATTTAAGTTTATATTTTTATTAACATTATGTTTAATATTTTTTAATATTTTTGCATTTTTTAATATTTTTAATTTTTTGGAATTTTCTGACTTTTTTTTTTTGTAATTTTGTGCCTTTCTTAAAAAGGCACGCACCTCGCCTTGCCCTTGTGCCTCAGGCGCAAATTGGCCCTCGCGCTTCTAAAACATTGGTTCAATGAGGTTCTAATCAAGTTCAAATCGAGCTCAAATCTTAGGGTAAGCTTGATTAATTGTTCAAACTCGAGCTTGACTAATAAAAGTTTGGATCGGAAGCTTGTGAGCTTGGCTCGATTAATATATATATATATATATAATATAGAACATAAAGATATATTTTACAATATATTATTAATTTTTGTATGTAAAGCATATTTTTATATTTTATATATAATAAGAATATACTAAGCATCCTATATATATTTATAAAATATAAAAATATATTCATTTTCAAGCTTTTGAGCCAAACTTGAGCTCATTAAATGTTTAATGGAATCAAGCTTGAACCAAACGATAGACWTCGAATTGAACTTGAACTTGAGCTTAAACCTAGTACCCTTTTAGTCAAGTCCAGCCAAGACATGCCAATGTTCGGCTTGGCTTGGCTTGGTTACTTCCCAAACTACCTAGCCACTTTAGTCAGAATGCAAAATGTGGACAAGTAGTAAATGGGCAAGTTGGCCAATGTAGATTTAATTAGGGCTATTTTCTCTCCCATTGAAATATAACACCGTTTTGAAAGTGCCAACTTTTTGGAAAATCTCTCCAATATAGATTTCCAAAAGCCTTCCGCTCTCGGGTTTCCTCCCAATGAAAGTCCATGGTATTCTAGTGGCCAATATTTTACCTCACAACTTAGGATTTCTGCCCATGATTGAATCTCATCTTTTCCCAAGTTGATCCTTGAAACACAGATCTTTCTCCAATTCACCTTTAGGTTAGAAACCCTTTGAGAGGTATTGACTAAGGTTCCTCACCACACCTTCATCACTCCCATCATTGAAAATGGTTATATTGTTTGTACATTGTGTAGATGGGCTATAGCTGCATTTTTCCTACCCACCTCCAACCCCTAATCAAGTTATCCAAATCAAGGTTTAAAATGTTGGTGTCAGTGGAAATGTTGGTCCTCCAAATATAAGAGACATGTCGGAAGTATCATATGGATTTTTTTTTTTTGATTAGTAGAAAGAGGTTTTATTAATAAGACTTAAAGATTACAAAAAGGTGGGTGTAAATTTCACCCCAACAGTACAAGAATTTATAAATTTGCCCAAAATAAATGTTGTCTTAACTTAAAGCTCCTTACTTTGCTAGAGTGTCTGTCATTCCACTTGTTGTTGTTCTCACCCATTTGAAAGAAAAACTTGATTCCCTTATTAAGCTCCCAATCTCCCTAAATTTGTATCGGAAAACCGAAAGGATTTGGGTACTGCATCTTGTCTAGGAAATGACTACCTGAGAATCCCCTTCCACTTCTAAATTGTGGAACCCAAGTTGTTAAGCAAGTTTTAATCCCTGCAATAAGGACACACTCTTCCTTTGAATCCCTGAAGACTTCCCCTACTCCTGCCAATCCCACATTGAGAGTGAAGCTTCCATCAAAGTTGAGATTTATGAAGTTAGAAGCTGGGGGTTTCCATTATCATAATTTGCCTTTCCTTTACTTGAGCCAGGAGTGCCACCTCTTTTCAATTTCTCAAGATATCATTTAGGGAGAAATTTTGGAAAGCTACCATAGTTTTCACCCAGTGTACTGTCTTGATCTTAATTATCTCAATAATCCCCCCCTGGTTTTGCTTTGGTCATTGAAAATTCTTCCATTTCTTTCTTCCCAAATGGTCCAGAGAACAACTGCCCTCACTGCTTTCCACAATAGTCCTCTTTTCTTTGGTTGCCTTGGGAAACTAGGCTCAAAAAGACCCACCACATCCTGAGGGGGAGACCACCTGCACCCAGAAAGGGAGCAAAGATGCTTCCAAATACAAAGCACAAAGGAACAGGATATAAAAAAATGGGAAATAGTTTCACCATCCTTGCAATGGAAACACACATGAGCGGAAAGGCTTTTATCTGGCCTTCTTTTCTACAACAAAGAAGACCTCTCAACAAAGAGTCTGAACTTTAGGTGGAATAGGCTTGCCCCAAATTTCTTTCACTGGGAAGTGAACCCCTTGGTATTTGGATGTATTAAGAAGTTGAAGAAAGAAGCACAAGTAAAAGAACCAACCGTGGAAATTGACCACACCCTATCGTATTGGAAATATCGCAGAAGTTATATACATGGTGGAAACATTGTAAAATACACAAAATATAGAATGATATTCTATGAAATGATAAAAGAAGCATAGGCATACCTTTTTAAATTATTATCTTGTTCCAAATTATTAAACAAAGTTAAGAAGCTAAGGTTATAGACAAAAGAATATGTTCTGAAGTTGCCCTACGAACCTTACGTTTCAAAGCTTCATGGTAGAATGAGTTAAAGCAAATTTTAAACCCATAGAAAATGTAAATGGTTGTAATGGATCAACCAAATAATCTATTACACAAACAAAAACTAATATTTAACTTCATGCTTGAAATGAATATTGAGCTAGTTCAAAGTGGTAACCATGTACGTTAAGGCGGGCAGTAACATTGTTACTCCACATATCTACAATATTATCACCAACTTATGTTATAATACTGTCTCTTGTACTCCACATAGTGCTAGCAGTGTTTTCTTTTTTGAAATAAATAAATAAGAAAATTTTATTAGAAAAGAGAAAAAATAGAGGCAAATGCACACAAATGATAAGTAATCACCCAGAAAACCCAAAAACACAAGACCCAAATCCTACAAACTTTCAAAAACAATCCAATTCTCCAATCCAAACAAACAGAAGGCAAAGCCCACTGACAGAGAAACCAAGACATCAAACCCCCAGAAATTTCCAAACCAGCAACAAAATGGAAATATGTCGATTGCAGTAAAATTTCATGTCGCTACCTTTGGAAGTGGAAATGGAAACCTGTTGTGGAAACTATCTCTTGTACTCCACATAGTGCTGGTAGTGTTCACTGGGGAATATGTTGATTTTGATAAAATTTTGTGGCACTACCGGTGCAAATGGAAATATGTCCTGGAAATATTATGGAAATTAGGGACATTTTAAACCATGGTCTGAATCAGCCTTGGTGGTCCATCTACTTAGTACCTCAACAATTAGTGTGAAAAGGAAAGGGGAAATAGGGTCTCCCTGTTTCGAACCTCTGTTTGAAGTCAGCATCGTGAAGGTGAAAGAGAAACTGTTGGGAAGGAGTTAGAGGTGAACACTAAAAAGAAAAGTTAGGAGGCTCAAATCTACAAGTGTACGAAGGAAATGGCGATACAGGATCAAGCCTTTAGAAGAAGATGGAGAAGAATGTAAGTCTGACGCTGAAGGAGAAATTCAAGAGGACAAGGTGATTTTGGATGAAACATAAAATAAAGAGCTGAGTGTATTTGAAATTAGTGATTAATAAGGAGGTGAAAGCGAGCAAAAATTTCAGATTATTTTTTCTAGGAGTAGAAGAGGTTGGAAGGAAGGCATTTGAGGAACTGGAGGAAAAGTATCTTGAGAGAGAGAGAGAGAGAGAGAGAGAGAGGGTTTGAAGTTGGCAAGGAAAGATATTTTTCATAGGGTTGATGATGAAGTGGTTTACCAAGGGAAGCTGAAATGGAGAATGGTGAGTTGGCTGCATCTCAGACTTTTGAAAAGAATGCGGCTCTGGAATTAGAAAGGATAAATGAGAGCTGTAAAGTCCAAAAAAAAGAATCAGAATGTCAAGGGCAGGAGACGCAACAGGATCCAGAAGAAGTACCTCTCCAAAAGGTTCTGGTTTCAAAAGTAATTGCAAGGTTAAAAGGGGGTTTGTTCCTGTTTGGTGCTATTAGGAAGGTGAAGAAAAAAAAGGAATCTCAGAAGGAAAATAGAAAGGCAAATGCTCAGTTTCTTGGAAGGGCTGAATGACTGGAGTTTTGAGGAGTGGTTCAAGGCTAAACGCTATTTGGTGTTCGGGCTGGAGGGGGTGTGGGTTTTCTTGTTTTCAAGTGGTTGGTACTGGGATGGTGGTGTCTTTCAGGTTAAAGTTGGAGGTGTAAGTGGGTGGTGTTGGTTTGTTGTTCTCTCTCATGTGACTACTGGTTATCCTTGTTGTAATCTTCTTTTTCTCTTGGATAATATTTTTCTTTTACCTTCAAAAAAAATCAAGCTCTTTTGTATTTACTCATACATTATTTATATTCACATGGATAGATGGAAGTTAATTTGAAATTTTAATTTTGTTGATACATTTCTGTGTGCATCTTTAACTTAAAGTTTTATGCAGATTTTAACATGCCCGTTTTCTTGTTCTTTCTTTTAACCTGGATTATTATCTTTTGTGTGGATACTTCAGAAGGCAAGGTTGTTAAGCTTGGAAAAGAATCTCTTCATGTCATTGTTCTTGGTTTCTCATCTGCTTCCATTGCAGAGGAGGATATTCGTGAAGAGTTTCGATATAGAATAGTAAGGACTTCTTGGTTCAGTGGATCATTTTTTCTCCCTGCTCTATTATAGATGCTCTCTTTACTATTTTTGTTCTGGCAAGAGACAAACTTATTACTGGGTTGCTTTCTATGATTTTTATTGTTTTAGAAGCATGGAGAGGAAGTATTTGCTAGTACATCTCACAAGCGGCATGTGATCAAGGTTGGAAGCATGATACAGTTCTTAGTAAAGAGGTAATATATTCTTTTCATACGTTATGTTATTTATTCTATTAAAGAACTATATAAATGCACCCACATAAACTGGACTGGGCTCCTTTTTGTGCCATCGATGTCAATTCTCCAAGATGTGACACTGACATAGTTGATGCAAAATAGCAAAAATAATAGAAGAGAAGAAAGACATTGTGTTACAGTAACTTAAATATCATGCATTTGTTGTTCAGTGGTTTTTCATTCTTATGCATGGTTTTCTATTATCAATAATGTCTCCCCTTTGTTTTCTCATTTTTGAAACACTATACAAGTTCTTTCTAGTTTTTTTTTTTTAGCTGAATGCTCTCCAGCCAAGTTTCATACAAGCAAGTTGAGGGCCTTATGGTTTGTTTCCAGTTTGATTAAGCTTATTCCAGCCACCACTATTGGTTGTTATTTGGAGGGGTCTGTCATCGCCAAGTGAATTATTCTATTTTAAACTAGGTGCAACTAAAATTCCTCATGGAATGTGATTTTACCATTTGTAACAGGTGGTATTGGGAACCAGGCCAATCAGAATAGTAGTATTTAGAGATGGTCATGGTAACATAACTGTACTATTCTCAGGGCCAATTGGAGTTGGAGACTCCACAAGTGTTGAACTACTTGCAGTATTGCAAAGTTAAGAATGACAAGGCTCTGAAATATTAATCAGTTCTAGTGTGATTGTAAACTGGATGAAGAACAAAAAGGAAGTCTCTTGGCTATACAGGTATATTATGAGAGAGGTAGTTCAGCCAGCTGCAGAGATAAGCAGATCTTTTAAATGGGTGAGGAGATCTGCCAATGGGACAGATGCACTAGCTAGGCAAAGGGTGCATAGAAATCAACTGTATTGGGATCTAGTATCACATGGGTCTTGATTGTCATCAGTGGGTCAATCACTCAGGGAAAAGAAAAAGGGGGATCTGTCACTTGTCTTGAGGTCAATGGGGTGCTTGGCACTTAGATACCTTTGTAATTAGACATGATTTTTTCTCTATACTAATAAACCTATCCGTTTCCAATCAAAATAAATAAACAACAGGTAGCATAAGGTCAAACTTCCAAGGTTAAGACTTGAGATTTTTCTGAAGATGCTCCAACAGCCCCTTTATGATTCTGCCTGTTTTGATCATTGCTTTTAGGTAGTATGATTCGTTTTTAGAGGCTTCCATATTGTTAAAAAATTGGGGAAATTAGTCTAGATGTCTTTTATACTAATGATGCCTATATTTTGGTTTTTGAAGGAAGAAGTTATTAACATCTTGGTTAGTGGATATTGAACATCATAGTTGTCAAGATGTTGCTTATGCAACTAGGCACCTAACAAGCCTGATTTCCTTAACTTGCATCCTTCCTGTTTCCCTTGTGCAATAAAAGTATCTTTTTTCAAAAGGAATCACAAGGCAGGTAACTTATTATAATATTATTACTATTGCTGCATCTTTTTGGCATGTGTGTTGATACATTATATTATATCACTTATACCGTGTTTGAAAGTATTACTGTTGAAAAAAGTAATGAGATGGTGATTATAGCTGGGTATATCATACAGACTATATGGCTGATGCTTTATCTAGACAGGGCACAAAAGGAACTCAATTATTTTGGAGACAGTTGAGGGACTTTAAGTTGTAAATTGTAAAGTATTAATGAGGCTTGGGTGGCAGTTGTCAGCCTAAACTATGAGGTACTTCCGAACAGTGTATTCATTAATAAAGTTTTCAAGTTACCCATAAAAAAAGTTATCTATATTCCTTGATCATGCTACATGTTCATCACATCACTAGTCTTACAAATGCATGCTTCTTTGTTGGCTGGTAAACACGTGGAGATGGACATTCCCTTAAGGTGCATTAGTTCCATCAAGGATACAATAGATGGAATCTGAAAACATTGGAAGTTAAACTTGTTTTCTGCTTCCTATTTGTTGCAGTAATAACTTCTTTTTCTTATCAATATTTCCTATTTAAGTCACTGAGCATAGGAATCTTATATTTTGTCTTTTACTCTTTAGTCATGATTCCAAATTGTTTGTGTCATTGTATGATAAGTATTTCATTGTCACTATATAAACAAGGCATACATTTAGAAGTAAAAGAGGTGAATAATTGAAGAAACAAAAATGTGACTTTTAGTTGGTATGTTGATATTTACCAGTATTGGTAAATAAAGTTCCTTGTATTCAGTGTCATTATGTCTTTTAATGTGTGTACTTGGAGCAGTCAAATATGGAACTGAAACTGGCAGCAATGAGTCGCAGAACAAGTGTATCCATGTTATTTTCAAAATATTGAACAGTAGGAACCAAACATCCAAACCTACACAAATGAGTTTAATAATTGTCTTTTTTATGTTGCTAACTGTACTTAGTCTTTTTTATGTAATTGTCTTTGATGACAAAGTTATTTTAAAAAATATTTTATGTTAAAGTTCCATCGTCATTTATACAGTTTTTTATCACACTGTAGCCGCATTAATTTTGGTGCCTTTCATCCATGCTTTGACATTTCTTTTTTAGTAATAATTTGGCATAATTCTTATTTTTCCATCATGGTAGCTTTGATGAAGAAATACTCCACATTTCTGGATCCCTGATTCCAGTTAACACCGGAAGCACCAAATGGTTACATAAAAATATGGAAGAAGGTTCAATGGTAGACAGGTTGGAAACTCGGTACTCCTATTTCCATTAAGTTTCAGTCTGTTTTTTAATTTTTTATTTCATTTTTTTTTACTTGGGGTGTAGTGTTTCAGGATCTTTAAGTATGTGATTATACTTGTTTGAATGAAAGCTTGGTCTGTTGAACTGAAAACCCATCCATAAAAAAAAAAAAAGAGTTTTATGACAAATGTAGCACAAAGTTCACCAGTTTCTACTGTTATACTAACAAAAGTAATATATATTGGAGTATCAGGAAAAAGAAAAGAAAGGATGACAGAAGTGAAATGCATGAGCATTCTACTGAGCTACTTGATGATGTGGGATTTTCTTTGAAAAATGAAGGTCGGCCAAAGAAGTCAAAGAGGCAGAGACATGCTGAACAGTCTTAAATCAATCAGATAGAGGACCCAGATGTTAAGGAGCCGTCCTGTAACCTATATTTTCCTTTTTGACCGTACTGTTTGTTCACCACTAAATTTCTTTGTAGATTGTTTGGAGTTAATTATTTATTGTTGGTGTCTCATATAATAAATTGTGAGGAAATGCGAATTGTTGCATTGGAAATTTTACCTGACATACAACAGGCAGTGAACAAGCTTTCATATTCATCTCAGTTCCCTGATTCCGAAGATACAGTGGCTGAAACGAAGTGAGGAGATACAGACCAAGTGACAATAGAATTACACGGAAGAGCAGTTATAGCAATTTTGTGAACAGCGGCAACAGCCATATGAGCTTGACGCTTAACATGAGAGATTGAGAATGAATTAAGGCGAGAGAAGGCACCTGTAATCAACAACGGTGTTGATAAGCCATGGAGTAGGAGATTTCACCAAAAGCTGCATTGCCTTCCGAAGCTATACAACAACAACAAATATAAGTTTTAGATGATTATAAATAAGTTATATACACGAAAAGTAAATGGCCTTCCAAAGCTATACAGCCACACCAAATATAAATTTTAGATAACTATAAATAAGTCATACACAAAAAATACATACTTGCCAATCACCTAAGAGATCAGGTGGTCACTCATGTCTTCTCGTGTATGGAGGTAGGGGATCAAACCCATGTAACATAGAAAAAATGGTGGTGAGAACTAAAATATGAATGCATGTATCTTAATTCTCAGAAGATCAATATAATTTATGTTAATATTTATAAATATATAAATTGTAATAATCAATTTTTTAACAATTATTGGTAAACATCTAATAAAAACATGAACTTTTCAAAAATTAGCTTAGAATTCATTCTACTTTGAAAAGTAATATCATTTGATAAATACTTCAAAAAAATAATTGGAACATGGTGTAGTGATAGATTTGTCATCTTATATCCTACAGATCAAGGTTCACCAAAAAAATTATGGGTTATAGTAACAGCCTAACGGGGAAAGAAAGTCAATTGACAAATTTGAATATGAATAATTGCATTAAATATAGGGAGAGAGAGAGAGAGAGAGAGAGAGAGGAGTTATATATCATGGTTTTCGAAACCGGACCAGACCGGAAAACCAGGAACTGGTCAGGTGACCAGTTCCGGTTATCCCCAAAACTGGATTTTCCATAAAAACATTGATTTTGGTCAGCAAACTGCTGACCCGGGCGGTTAACCGTTCGAATGATTTTGATCGGTTTTTATTTATTTTTTATTTTTTTATTTTTTTGTCAGACTAGGACAACTGTTCGGTTYGAACGATCAGACCATTTGACTCGGCAACCGAAGCCCTGACCGGTTCAGTCTCCGGGTCAGTTTTAAAAACTATGTTATATATAGAATGATAGAGAAATTTATTAAAAAAATCAAAGCATGCCTATAGTATTGGCTCATATTGACCAATATGGACCTGATATAGATTGGTTCCATCAACAAATCAATCCATATACATTAATATACATAAAAGGTTGAAATAACCATGATAGGCATGAGTATTCAAAAAACACATAAACCAATATATAGTTTGTATGAAGAAATATGTTATAATTAATCTAACTCAACATGTAGATATCATACAACTTTATTGATAATGAATCAACTAAATGTTCAAGACACATGTAACATAGCTTCATGTATACAGCTATTAATGTGTTGTTTCTTATTTAAGTTAAATTATTCATTAATAATTATTGAAATGAATAATTAATCTAAAAATTATATTAGATTAATGAGAATGTAGAAGATCTATAGATCCAAGAGTCTAAATCATCGACTATGTTTTATTGAGCTAAAACAGTTGACAAATTATTAAAAGGGATCAAAGCTTGAATAAAGTGCATTGGACAATTGATAGTCTACTTGTGACTCTCCAAAGAAAAAGATGGTTGTTACTAAAGAGCTCAAAGGAAAAGAACATCAAGTTCTAATACTCTGCATTGTGCGTCATACTTTCAGGACTTGGGCTAAGTTTGGGAGTGCTTAAGAATAAGTGCTTATTCAAATAAGCATTATTTTGGGCTGGGAGCACACCAATAAGCACTTATTTGCATTTGGGAATGGACATTTATTTGAGAATGGACATTTATTTGAGAAGCCCGAGTTTTGGATTTATTTTTAAGTGGTTATTTCTTTTCTCATCTTGGTCCACAATGTCATTTTAAAAATACCTATACTACCCCTATTTAAAGTAAGTATCTTTTCACCAAACATTCATAAGTGTATTAAAATAAGTACTTATTTTTAAACACTTACTTTTCAAATAAGTACTCCCAAACTTGGCCTTAATGTAAATCATATGTATGAGATGCATTCTATGGGCTTAAACTTTATCAAACTTGGTTGACTTAATTCAACTTAACCAAACTTGAACTCAAAAAGAACTTAAATTTGGAAGCCTAAAGAATGATTTTTATACCTTTGGAACCAATATCTTTAAGTTTCTAAGGTTGTGAGTAGTGAGTAGTCAGCTAGTGGTGAACTACTTAGTAGTTGATCATAGAAAATCATGAATTGACTATATCTTATATTTGTAGGATTTTGGATCAGATTCGGGTCCCCCTTTTAACTAATCAAATTTGGATTATGATGAATCCAATCCTGAGTTCAATCCATATACATCCCTAACAGTCATTGGTTTTTGAGATGTATATCTCTTTTTGACAAATGTTTAAGCTTCACATCACCTATGCCTTGAGGCAAAATCCATACAGTGATTCACAGGCCAACGACTCAAGGCTTAAGCTATATATCCAGTGTTCAGAAAACTGGACCGAACCAGAAATTGTGATCGGACCCTGGATGGTTTGGTCAGATCCCCACAACCGGATTGGGTAAAAAATTGGCCAAAGCCGCTGATCCAGCCAATCTCATAGGAAAACTGGCGAATTGGTCCCATTTTAGAAAACCAATCATTTTTTTTTTGAAAATTTTTAGCACATAATTTTATGGGTCACAATTTTGCACTCAAATGTCTAATTTTTTATTTTGGATAACTTTTTGAAATCTATGTATTCCTTTAACATAAAAATTAAAACTAAAATAAAAACATGTTATAGAAGAATATAATTATATGGGAAATTGTCTAAAACTCATCATGAGTTTTCAACATCTCTTAAACTCACCACAACTTTTTCAAAATGTCTAAAACTCACCATGTCAGTAAGTTTTTATTTTCCAAAACTCACCTTCCGTTAGTGCACCGTTAATGCTTCCTAATAGAGGAAGCATACATAACAATTTTCATGACCAAATTACCCTTGAATGGTGAATTAGAGGAAAATGGTCTTTTTCAGTTTTCAATTTTTTGTTTTTTTTTTTTACATTTTTAATGTTTTGTTATAATTTCCAATGTTTTTCATAATTCTCTATTTTCTACAATCTATAATTTTCCTGTATTTTTTGTTATTTATTTGCAATTTTTGTGCTTTTCTATAATTTTTGGTGTTTTTTCTACAATTTTTATTTTCTGATTTTGTTTTTCAATTTCTATAGTTTCAATAATTTGAAAATAATTTTTGATTTTGTTTGTAATTTCTATAATTTTTTATATTATTTGTAATTTCTATGTTTTTATATATTTTATATTTGAAAATATTTTTTTTGAACTTTTTCTTTTTTTCATGTCTAAATATTGAAATGGTAATATATTAACACCCATTAATTTATTTTATTTATATTTTATATTTTGCTATGAAAGTTAAAATGGTAATATATTAACATCCTTTCATGTTTAATGTCTTGAAAAGTTGTGGTGAGTTTAAGAGAATTGCTAAAAACTCTTGGTGAATTTTAGACAATTTCTCTAATTATATATATATATATATATATATATATATATCAAACTAAACTCTAACCAATAACCACCACAGCCCTTAAAACCAACAAGTCATTCCGTGGTTTATCCTTTTTCTTCATCATTTGAACCTCGAAGTTGTTTACTAGAAACAAAAATCTCAAGTTCAAACCTTCTCCATCTTTCCTCCCTCCTAAACTCTAACCGGTACGAGAGAGAGAAAGGGGCGAGTTGTTTGCAATTTTCAACGTTAACAAACGCATTCCCTTTCCCTTTGTCTTCTTTGATGCACATGACCCAATCAACCTTCACTTTTCCATTTTCAATTAACAAACAAAACTTTCTCTCTCTACCTCTCCTACTTTCTATTTTCTCTCTCTCTCTCTTCCCTTCCAAAAGTGAACAAAACTCAGCAGCTTGAAACGTGACCTTGCGTGTGCTTGCACGCATGGATTTGGAAGCTGAAAAGGCCAAAAGTTCCAGCCCTTGATAACTACCATTAGCCTTGCTGCTCACTGTCACAGTGACTACCACTGTCAAGTGTAAACCAAGAAAGGAATTCGGATTTGCTCTGAGATCAGCCTTGCATTGAGAACATCTCTGATCTCCCTTTTCTAAAAGGTAAAAGGGAAGATTATTTTTCATTTTTGGGAAGCTAGGTGTGTTTTCATTTTTCTGGGTTTTTTCATATTAATAAGAAGGGAAGATTTGAATGACTGTCAAAATCCCAAATAGTACACAGTTTGTGTTCTCAAATGCCAAGAACAATTAAAGAGCCAAATATCAGACAAGTCATCTTATGTTCCAACGTTTCCCTGAAAATGCAAAGTTGGAGCCAGGGTCTTGGGCATGTTTCTGCTCTCTTGCACTAATGTAGAACCCACCAGGCCACCCTGCAAACTAGACCCACCTGCAGCAAAAATACAAAGCAGACACCCCCTATTCCCTATTTCCATTAAACCAGCAGCCTCCAGTCTTCCACCCTTTTTGTTTTACTTGCCACAAATATAGGAAGCACAGTGGACGTATACACCCTCCAAGGAGCATATTAGCAGATTTGGTGAAACAAACCTCAGACTGTGAACTCAGCTTTTTCATTCGCCTGAGGCTGAGTGGAGAGTCACCCAAGGGATGGGTGTCCTGTGTCCCACATCAAGGCTACTATTGGAATTTGGAATACAAATTATCTTCTTTTACAGATATAATCTCTGACCAATTGTGAGCCCCCTGGAGCCTGGAGGTGAGATGTCAGTGTCTCATGTCGGATTTTCTCTCTCTTAACCTTCTCTTCTAGTGTAACTGTGGATGCTTCTGAACCCCAATCACCTGTTGGGTAATTTGGTGAAACCCTGTTTT